TTCTTGCTAGCACAGGTTAGTTTGCAATATAGTATGTAACTTCAGTAAAAGTGTAGAGCATGGACATGCGCAAACTCCTCGACTCATCTATTTCCCCTTTTTTCCCGAAAAAAGAAAAAGATATACAAACTTATCTTGATCAAGGATATTTGAAGAGGTCAAGTTACAACATTTACGATACTTCAACTTTTTGGGCGAATACTTTAAATAAACAATGTCATTACATTGTATTTTTATCTGGTGTGTTGCAGATATGGTGTTACACCATTTACTCCGATGAAAGGACTTTTCATTCAAGGTCCCATCTTTGTCAGTTTTTTCCTTGCTGTAAGATTGCATTCCATGTTACTAGAATTCTTTTTTCCTCTTTCTCTGTGTTTTATCATTTGACATTTCATCTCATCATTCTTTATTTGCAGATTACAAACATGGTGGAAGAGGTTCCTTCTTTTAAACAGGGTGGAGCATTTTGGTTTATGGATTTGACAACTCCATATAGCATGTATATCTTTCCGGTTTTGACAGCATTGACATTTTGGATAACAGTTGAGGTTAGCACCCATTTCTGTATTTCTAATCACTTTTTATTTCTTTTATTTGTAAAGATATGTTTAGTTTTCTCTCTCTGAATTCTTTTTGAGGATTCTCGACAATTTGAGATTACATTGAGCTCCTTTTCTTCCCTTACTGCTTTATTATTTGATAAGTGGATCCCAAATAGAAAATCCCTATCACCCAGCCTTCCTTAGTAGTTCAAACTCCACTCTATAAATTGTATATCTGAAAGGCTAGAATTATCCGACTTCTATGAGTAATCTATAAAATTAAGTAGCTTATATCAAAAGAGAGAAGTCAAATTCAATCGGTATTAATTTCTTATCAACGAAACTTGTTCTCTCGTTAAATGTTAAATCCAACAATGACGTGACCTGTGAGGTTATACTGGGTCTCTTAATTGATTTCTGCTGGTCATTACCTGGATCTTGTGTGAGATCTTGTTATATTATTTTCATGGTTTCTGATTATCATCAAATTCGTGTCGTGCGTTAAAATATTATTTATTCCTTTTAGATGCCTCACTGAATTTTGTCTTGTTTCTTCTTGTTGACACACGAAACAGGCAG